GTGTTGCGACGCCGATGACGATTGTTGGATTACAATAGCAGCAACCGCATGCACGCCCAGGAGCGTGTCGTATTGTTTTTGAATTCCAGATGGATTCATAGTTGTTCGAGCAAATCCTGGCTTCTACACATGTCGAAATCGACTACGGCGAATCAGCGGCGTCTCCCGCCTCTCTGGAAACGCCGATGTAGCCAACTGCGCACCCATCCAACCCCCACGATCCCTGATGGGAAGAGGTAGAGACAAGACCCAGGCACGCCCCAACATCGCCCCGTCACAGCCGAGATGTTTTCGGAAGGTGCAGAAGATGCAAGACCGCGTTGACGCGACAAGAGGATTGGTCGATCTCATGAAAATGGCTTAGGTCGGGGGAGGGGCATGATTTTGTGCAGCTGGTGTAGCCTTAACACCCTAACTGGAATTCCCTGATCCTATACCTGGCACCCAATCACCCTAACCCAATGGCTCGTATCCTAGCACTTTAACCTAGAACCTGAAACCCACAATCCTGGCACCTTAACGCCCTAGCCTTAAATCGTAGCCCCGACGCCCTCACCGCGGGGCTGACGCCCTATCCTTTGCCCTAGCACGCTAAGCGGCGCACCCACCCTGGAGCATTCTACTCCCAACATCAGGACCCTGACCCTGAAACCCGAACTCCCCAGCCCTCACGCGATGACCCTGATGCCCCTCCCCTGACGACTGCGCGCGGGCTTCGTTCAAGTCTGGCTAGGCGGGCTGCCCCGAGAGGGCGGCGCGCCAGCCTCTGTCAGCAGGCAAAGACAATCCAAACTATCATTAGCGATTACGTGATTGTGAAAGTGCGCCAGTGGATCCCCCTGAATAAAATCATGGGCAGGGGGGGGTTCGGACCCCCCCTCCCCCCCTCCCCCCCCCCTTCCCTTGAGGGAAGGGGGGGGGGGTCCGGGCCCCCCCCGCCACTTCCCCCCTCGGCGCTGGAAAGGGGGGGGGGGGTCGCCCCCCCCCCCCCCCCCTTTGCGCCGGACTGGGAGCCGGGGAGGGGGGGCCTTTCTCGCTTCTCCTTTCTGCGCCGGAGAAGGTGTGTTCGGAGTGGTGAGTAGGGAGTGGGGAGTAGTGAATAGTGAGTTAGTGCGTAGTGAGTAGTGAGTATTGGGCAGTGAGTAGTGGGTAGTGAGTGGCGAGTAGGGAGTAGGGAGTAGGGAGTGGGGAGTAGTGCGTAGTGAATAGTGAGTAGTGCGTACTGATATGTGAGTAGTGAGTGGCGGGTAGTGAGTAGTGAGTAGTGAGTAGCGAGTAGCGAGTAGTGAATACTGAGTAGGGAGTAGGGAGTAATGAGTAGTGGGTAGTGAGTAGTGGGTAGTGAGGAGTGGGTGGCGAGTAGTGATTAGTGAGTGGTGAGTAGTGGGTGGTGCGTAGTGCGTAGTGAGTAGTGAGTAGGGAGCAATGGGTAGTGAGTAGTGAGGTGTGAGTAGTAAGTAGTGGGTAGTGCGTAGTGAGTAGCGAGTAGTGAGTAGTGAGTAGTGCGTAGTGAGTACTGGGTAGTACGTAGTGCGTAGTGAGTAGTGGGTAGTGAGTAGTGATGAATAAAGTATAGTGTGTAGTGGCAGTGGGTAGTGAGTAGTGAGTACCGAGTAGAGAGTAGCGAGTAGTGAGTAGTTGGGAGCGAATAGGGCGTAGTGAGTAGTGAGTAGTGAGAAGAGAGTAGTCAGTAGTGAGCAGTGGGTAGTGATTAGCGAGTAACGCGTAGGGAGTAGCGAGTAGTGGGTAGCAAGTAGTGAGTAGTGAGTAGGGAGTAGGGAGTAGTGAGCAGTGAGTAGTAAAAAGTGGGTAGCGAATAGTGGGTAGCGAGTAGCGATTAGTGAGTAGTGGGAAGTGGGTAGTGACTAGTGACCTAGTGAGTTGTGAATAGTGACTAGAGACTATGTAGTGACTAATGAGTAGGGAGTAGTGAGTAGTGAGTAGCGGGGAGTGAGTAGTGAGTATTGAGTAGCGAGTATGGGAGTAGCGAGTAGTGAGTACTGAGTACTGTGTAGTCAGTATTGTGTAGGGAGTAGGGAGTTGCGAGGAGCGAGTAGTGGGTAGTGAGTAGTCATTTGTGGGCAATGAGTAGTGAGTAGTGAGTAGTGCGTACTGGATAGTGGGTAGTGGGTAATGAGTAGTGATTACTGAGTAGTGAGTAGGGAGTAGTGAGAAGTGCTTAGGGAGTAGTGAGCATTGAATATTGGGTATTGAGGAGTGAATAGTGAGTAGTGCGTAGGGAGGAGGGAGTAGTGAGTAGGGAGTAGTGAGTAGCGAGTAGTGGGTGGTGGGTAGTGAGTAATGGATAGTGAGTAGTGAATCGTGAGTAGTGAGCAGGGGGTAGTGAGAAGTGAGTAGCGAATAGCGAGTAGTGAGTAATGAGTAGTGAGTGCTCTTTGGGGCTGGGGTTAGTGGTTGGGGTTAGGATTAGGGTTTTGGGTTAAAGTGAGGACTAGGGGTAGGGGTGGCGGGGGTCGGGTTCCGGACTCAGGGGGCGGCGTGGCGAAAGGGGGGGGAAGGGGGGGGGGTTGTGGCCAAAGGGGGGGAGGGGGAGGGGGGGGGATCCCCGACGACGGATCGAGGAAAGAAGGGGAGGGGGGGGGGGTCCCCGACGACGGATCGGGGAAGGCGGGGGGGGGGGGGGTCTTGGGGAGATCCAGCGGCGCACCCTCTTGTGATTGTGCCATTTGGGCAGCCTCCGATGACATGGTTCTTCAGCCATTGTGGGCTGTACTGATATACGTTCGGCTAGTTTGGACCATCGTGGGCCATTTCGTACACATGTTGGCACTTTCTTGGGGCCATCTTGGGGCCAGAATGAGGCCCAACACGCTTTGACCCACGCTCTTGGGGCGCTCGTGAGGCGTTCGTAGGGGGCTTTCGTCCATTTGTCGCCAGGTCTTGGCTCGTATTGGGGCCTAGCGAGGTCCGCAAACCACCCAGGGGATGCCACTCGCGTGCGCGGACTACGTACGAAAGCAACAGTTCAACCTCACTATCTGATCCTGTCAGCTTGAAGACGAAAAACGCCGTTGGCCCGATGGGCCGACGATTTTTTCCCAGCCTTTTCCGCATCAACGCGTGAGGTTTCCATTCGATGTCCCGCCCGCCCGCCCGCTTTGATGTCACGCCCGTCGTCGTCGTCGTCGTCGTCGTCGCCGCCGCCGCCGCCGTCGTCGCCGTCGTCGTCGTCGTCGTCGTCGTCGTCGTCGTCGTCAACGCCGTCGCTGCCCTTGGTTTGTCTGCGGTGTCTTCTATACCAGGCTCACCTTGTTGAGGAACGAAGCTCACACTTGATGTCCCACGCGCCAGCCAGCCCTTTGAGTGCCGCCCCCCCGCCCGCTTTCATGTTCCGCCTCCCCGATCTACCCGCCGCATGACCCGCCCGACGCTTTTAATGGCCTACCCTCGTCATCGTACGCCGTTGGCATTTCGAAGACCGACGATTTGTCGTCTCCGTCCCGTTTTCCCTGGTCGACCCGCAGCATGACCCGCTCGACGCTTTTGATGGGCCACCCTCGTCGCCGTACGCCGTCAGTATTCCGAATGCCGACGATTTGTCGTCTCCGTCCCGCCCCCCTGGTCGACCCGCAGCATGACCCGCTCGACGCTTTTGATGGGCCACCCTCCTCGTCGTACGCCGTTGGCATTTCGAAGACCGACGGCCTGTCATCTTCGTCCTCCTCCTCGCCCTCATCCTCCTCGTCAGCGTCAGCGTCGTCGTTGTCTTACGCCGTCGGTATTTTGAAGACCGACGGCTTGTCATTTTCGTCCTCGTCCTCGTCCTCATTCTCGTCTTCAGCGTCAGCGTCAACGTTGTCGGCGTGGACGCCGTCATCGTCAGCGTCGCCGTCGTTCTCGTCGTCGTTCCCCTCGCCGTCGTTTGCTGGCGCGCAGCGGGGGTGGGCGGGCATAGAACCCCCTCCCATCTGACGTTCTAGGAGTAGGTGGGGTTCTCGCCGGAAAGGAGGGTCGGCCACGCGCAGAGGGGGGTAGGGGGAGGGGGAAGGCTTCTAAGAAGTCTTCCCCCCTCCCCCTACCCCTTTGTGCGCGCCGCCAAGGGTGTCCCGGTTCCAGATGAGGGGTCGGATTTTTTTTGGGGGGGAGGGGCCCCGGTTTTGGCAAAGAGGAGTTCTGATTTTGTGCAGCACAGCGCCGTCGAAGACGTCTCTCCGCAGGAGGCGTCTTCTCGCCACCGCCATGCCTGGTCAGGACCATCTTGGGCCCCAGGATGGTACAGAGACCCTCCTGGTCTCGGCGAGGAGGGCGCATGCACCATGCCAGAGCCCTGGATGGCCACGGCCAGGCATGGAGGTGCCGGGATTGCGTGCCCCCTTGCGCATGCCCGCTTCCTGTCGGGGGCGGGCATGATGGCGAGGGGTGTGTGGATATGGCGGGGGGTGCGATGTCTCCCCGGACTCCATGGCCTTCTTCTTCTTCTTCTTCTTCCTCTTCCTCTTCCTCTTCCTCTTCTTCTTCTTCGTACTATTATTTCTCGTAGTCCGTTTCTTCTTCTTCTTATCATTGTTCTTAGTGCTAGCATTACTATTATTAGTGTTATTATTATTAGTATTATTATTTGTAGTATTATTGTTATGGTTACGATTACGATTATGATTATGATTACTATTATTAGTATTATTAAATAATATTATCATTACTAGTATTAGTCGTATCATTCGTATCATTATTATAATTCGTATTATCATTATTATTATTATGATTATTAGTAGTAGTAGTAGTAGTAGTAGTAGTAGTAGTAGTAGTAGTAGTAGTAGTAGTAGTATTGTTATTCGTAGTATTATAATCCTTCTTATTTTCTTTCTAATGTTTTCTTATCATTCTTCGTATGTCCTCGTTTTCTTCTTCTTCTGATGCGCCCCCTGGCGCCCCCCCCCCGGCCGCGCGCGCGCCTCGGGCCACGATTCGCGAGGCCCCCTCTCAAACGCCCCCTCCCCCCCTCGGACGCCCGCCGATCCCTGGGCGGCGCACCCCCCGAGGACCTGGCGGGGGTGCTGCTGCACCTGTCGCGGCGCTTCCCGCACGGCACCCGCCTGCGGGCCCTGCGGCAGCACCTGCGCTCGGCGTGCGCCGCGGCGCAGCTCGGCGAGGAGGCCCCTCCTGCAGGGCTCGTTTCGATTCCTCCGGTTCGATTCCGACTCCGACTCCGATTCGATTCCGATTCGATTCCGAGTCATTCCGATTCCGATTCTTCCGATTCATTCCGATTCGATTTCGATTTCTCCGATTCATTTCGATTTCGATTCCGATTCGATTATTCTGCAGGGCTCATTTCGATCTTGATGGCTTCCGATTCCGATTCGATTCGACTTCGGGTTCCGATTTGGGCTCCGATCTCTTAATGGAGGCCCACTGGGCTGCAGATTTTCGCCGATTCGACTGCCGATTTCCGCAGATCCGATGCGTTTCGATCGCCGATCCGTCTTGTCGATTTGACTCTGGAGGCGCCTGCCCCTGCGGGGGGAGGAGGGCGCGCCGGCCTCTCGGGGGCGCTGAGCTGTCGCGCTCGCGCACACGCTTCGGCCGGAGAAGAACGCGGGAGGAGGAGGAGGAGGAGGAGGAGGAGGAGGAGGAGGAGGAGGAGGAAGAGGAGGAGGAGGAGGAGGAGGAGGAGGGGGAGGAGGAGGAGGAGGAGGAGGAGGAGGAGGAACAACGACGCTACGAGCTCCACTCAAAGTCTGCCTGACGTAAAAAGATTAAGAGGAGGAGGAGGAGGAGGAGGCGGAGGAGGAGGAGGAGGGGGAGGAGAAGGAGGGCCAGTGTAAACCAAGGCTCATCAACGATATTGGAATAACCCTCCCTGCAAGTTCCCTCTTCATAGGCCTCTTACAAGGGTTCATTTTCACTGAGGGAAGTGCCCCGTTGGAAGACAAAAGTTAGAAGATCGGAAGCGTGCCAAAACACCATTCCTGGAGCTTCAACGCCACGAATTAACCTGGCTGTTGCGTCTTGACGATCCTGACTCGTGCAAGAACACAATGTGTGGGATTCCAACACCGCGAATCAACGTAATTGTTTCGCCACGACATTTCTGAATTGTTACGAAATGCCATTTCTGGTACGTTTGCTATTGGAATCCGTAAATTATTGCAACTGTTTAAGACGAGTGTACGCGGCGCTAAGGCGAGAGCCACATTTGAAAAGCATCTGTCAAACTCTTGGAATTAGTTAAGACGGATGTGCGTAGCGCTGAGGCGAGAGCCACATTTTGAAAATTGCCCGCCCTCAGTCCGTGCAACTCTTTGCACATGTTTAAGACGAGTGTGCGCGGCGCTAAGGCGATAACCACATTTTGAAAACGACCCGCCATCCATCCGTCAAATTCTTGCAACATTTTAAGACGAATGTGCGCGGCGTCGACGCGAGAACCAGATTTTGAAAACAACCCGCCCTCCATCTATGAAACTGTTGCCATTTTTTTGAAGCTTCAGGATCATAAGTGGTAAGGAAGTCTCAGGCGAAACGCCCAGTCTGCCCTTCAGGCCAGTCTCGGGGTGTGACAGGGAGGAGTTATGTATAAAGGAAAAGAATGGAGGATTGGGAGGAGGAGGAGGAGGAGGAGCAACGACGCTACGAGCTCCGCTCAAAGTCTGCCGAATGTAAAAGAGGAGGAGAGTAGGAGGAGGAGGATGATAATGATGATGAGGAGGAGGAGGAGAATGAGGAGCAACGACGCTACGAACTCCGCTTAAAGTCTGCCTAACGGGAAAAAAAGGAGGAGAAGGAAGAGGAGGAGGAGGAGGAGGATGAGGAGTAGGACCAGTCTAGCCCCAAGGCCCATCAACAATGTTGCAATATCCCTCCCTCCAAGTTCTCTCCCCATAGGCTCCTACAAGGATTCATTTTCACTGAGGGAAGTGCCCCGTTGGAAGACAACCGTTTGAAACTCTGGAACTATGTGAGAGCACAGTTCTTGGGACTTCCACGCTGCGGATCACCGTTATTGTTGCGTCTTGACGATCCGGAATCGCGCCAGAACGCCATTCCTGGGACTCCACCGCGAATCAACGTAACTTTTGCGCCCTGACAGTCCGACATCGTACCCAAACATCAGTTCTGAGACGTTAACCATGAGAATGTTTGACCCTCTCACGAACTCTTAAGACGAAAGTGTGCGGCGCTATGGCAAGAGCCCGATTTTGAAAAGCAGCCGACCTCCATCCGTGAAGCTCGTAAGACGAATGTGCGCGACGCTAAGGCGAGAGCCACAACATGGACGGCATTCCATCCGTGAAACTTCTGCGCACTTTCAAAACGAATGTGCGTTGCGCTAAGGCGAGAGCCACATGTTGAAGACGTCCCGCCCTCAATCCGTGAAACTCTTGCAAACGTTTAAGACGAATGTGCGCGGTGCTCAAGCGAAAGCCACATTTTTAAAGCGACCCGCCCTCTCGCCCTCCATCCGTCAAATTGTTGCAAATTGTAGGCTCCAGGATCATACATGGTGAGGGCGTCTCAGCCGAAACGCCCAGCCCGCCCTTTGACCAGCCTCTGGGTGCGACAGGGAGGAGTTACGTATAAGGAAGAGACATGGAGGAGGAGGAGGAGGAGGAGGAGGAGGAGGAGGAGGAGGAGGAGGAAGAGGAGGACCAGTGTAAACCCAAGGCTCATCAACAATCTTGCAATCATCCTCCCCCCCAGGTTCTCTCTCGTAGGCCCTTATTTATCGGTCCGTCGAGTTCGCTGGAGCAGCATTGCGGCCTGCAGCCCGAAAGGGAGTTAGGCACAAGGGCGCCTTTCGATTCTAACTGGTTCAGTGTTGTTCCTTCGTGGGGCAGTATTATTTTTTATTCTTCGTGGTGTGTCTTCCTCGTGTGTGCAGGGGAAGTGTGAAGCAGCGCGCGAGCACACGAGGCACGCACCCCCGAACGGAGGCACTTCCTTGCGCTCCGCTCGCCCCCCCCCCCGCCCTAAGGGGCCCTTGTGTGCTTCCTCGGCCGCGCGGCCGCGAGCCGGAAGGCGTACGCGAGCGCCTCCCTGGCCAACGTGTTCGAGCCTGGCGTGGTGAAGGACAGAAGGCCGTCGTCGCACCTGCCGGTCCAGTCCCCCCCTCTTCCTTCCCCCTCCCCTCCTTGCTCGCAGCGGGGGGCAGGAGGAGGAGGAGGAGGAGGAGGAGGAGGAGGAGGAGGAGGAGGAGGAGGAGGAGGAGGAAGGGTGGGGAGAATGCGGGCGAGAGGAGGGGGAGGGGTAGGAGGGAGGGGAAGGAGGAGTGAGGGAGGGAAGGAAGCGTGGCTGATGGAGGACTGGGTCGGCGGTCGCAACGAGGATCTCCCAAAGGACCTCTTCCCATCGGAGGACCAGGACACCGCCACTCCTCCGAGGTGACACCTGGCAGCCCGCTTGCCTTCGGTGGTCTTGCCGCGTGCCCCTCTCAGAAGTCAGGGGGGGTGGCAGGATGGGGCAGATGATGAGGAGCATGACCGTCTACAATTTTACGTGCTAGTACGACGACTCGCGCTGATGCCTGTGCGTGGCATCTATCGGTTCGCGCTCACATGGGCGACATCTTCCTTCAGGGATGGGGCTCGGTTGGATTCGTTCTTACGAGGATGTCGATCGATGTGGGGATTAAGGCCAGTTGCTGGACAAGTGCCCGTCTTGGGAGTGCGAGCTTCCCAGAAACCCTCGGGTCGTTGCGCTGATGTTGCGCTGTTGTTATGCTGTTGTTTGTTGTCGTCGCAGTTTTTCTTTGCTGCCTTTATGCAACTCCTTGCTTAAGGTAGACCGTCGGATTCCGTGTTCTGCGTGTAAGTCGGGTGTGGTTTTGGGGGGGGGGCCACGGAGGGCGGGATGTTCAAGCGCCGACGACCATGGGAGTGATTCATGGATAATGCAAGGGAAACATTAAAGACGGGATGGGCTACTCGAACGGAGGAGGAGTAGGAGGAGGAGGAGGAATTTGCAAAGGATCAAGAGCACGCCATGCAGAAATAGGAGGAGGATCACGAAAAGAGACTTGAGTTGAAGGAGGATGACCGAACGCATGAGAGAGACAAGCAAAGTTGCAAAAGTCTGTCGAGGGGAGGAGGAGGAGGAGGAGGAGAAGGAGGGGAGGAGGAAGAGGGGGAGGAGTGGGAGGGGGAGGGGGAGGGGGAGGGAAAGGAACTGCAATCGAACGTGAACGAAGACGAGGAGGAGAAGGATAATGCGGAGTAGCACAGCACGAAGCAGCAGCGGGAGCAGCCGACACGGAATCCTCATCACCAGCAGCATTATAGGGGGGTATCAGTTTTCTGCTCCAGTGCAAATTAAGGCAACCTTTCGCTTCAGGCGGCTGATCAGATTCCAGCACGCGACACACCGCCAGATGCGACCAACCACTTTTCGGCCACTGTAGCAGCGACTTTGACACACACACACACAAACAGGTACGGTGCAGACTCCTTGTCTTCCCAAGGTGGCCCGCTCAGCGAGGTAGGCACTACTTCTTTCTGAGATCGCATGGGTCGCACACATTATACTTCTGGCGGTACAAACGGTCACGTTCGCTTTACACCGCGCCTCTTGTTTTCCATACCATCGTCTCCGACATCACGCAAGCCTCAGCCAGCCACAACCGAACCCCGAACGTGAGACACGGCTGAGCGACTCAACCTTACTGCTCCCTCCTCCCTTCCATTCCTCCCACGTTGCCTTCTTCCCTCCCCCTCCACAATCACAGAGTATGAGTACTACTCCTCTCTTCCCTGAGTCCGTCCGGAAGATAGCCAGTTCTCCCCATGTATGGTTCTCTTTACGCCTACGATTTCAAAACATCGTTGTTTTGTTTTTCACCATCGGATTGGTTTTGGTGTTTCAAACTGATCCCGCTGCAGCGTGGGCCTCTTTGTGGGATCGGCGCTTTGCTCCTGTCGTTCAGAGTTGTGCTCTCGTTCCAGCTGGGTCACTTTTCTGGATCTGAGTCCTTTTCCATCGCTTGTCGCCCCCTCATGTCCCCTCCGACTTCCCCTGGTCCTCCTGCTGATTCCATTCCTTCCGCTCCAGTTCCTACTGCTGCTACTGCTGCTGTTCGTCCACGTCTTCCTCTTTCACATCCTTCTCCTCCTCCTTCTTCCCCTCGTTTTTCTCCTGTTCGTCTTTTTGCGATTCCGGTCGGTTCGATAGCGTCATCGGACATACATCCGTCTAGCTTCCGCTTCTCTCCCTGTTCCTGCCCTTGCTGCTTTCATCCCCTCCGCCCATGGCCTAGTGTGACCCGAACGTGTTGCAGGGCCCTTGGTCGATTGGGCTACGCAGTCCTCCTAGCGAGAGTGCGAACAAACAGAGGTCCGCGTCTTCCATGTCTCAATGGCAGCTTGGAGCGAGGCTCGCTATCCCGGCCTGGGGGCCGTCCATATTGCCAAGGCGACGTCCGCGGTTTGTCCTTCCAGACGGGAATCGAAACCCAACGGCTTCCTGCTGATCACCATCAGCATTGCCAGCGTCTGCGACGCCAGCTACATCCGTTGCCTCTTCGCCAGCTTCTGCGACGCCAGCAACTGCATCCGTTGCCTCTCCGCCAGCGTCTGCGACGCCAGCACCTACAGCTTCAGCTTCAATCCTGCCAACATCTCCATCCAGCCAACGTGTGCGACGTCAGTAATTATTTGTACTGCCTCAGTGCCAGCGTCGGCGACGCCAGCCTCGACGTCAGCGACGCGGACTCGAAATCCTACGTGCTCAATACGGCGCCGAGCGACGCCAGCTACGGCGACAGCCTCATCCTCATCGAAAGCGCGATGGGTGGTAGCCAGTGCGACCGCTCGTTCGGATCGCTTAGTAGCCCCAAGCTGGGATGGCGACCCGTCGAAGCAGGAGGCCACGTCGTAGAACTTCAGCGTGAAGTAGAAAGTTTCAAGACGCCTGGCTTCAATTTTGGTCTTGAAGCTGTCAAGCACCGCTCGCACGGCGGCGCTAAACGTGGAGGAAAGCGGCCCTCACCCGCCAGCGAACATCGACATTGAAGATCTGCCAGCGTCAAAGCGTGACCGCAAGGATCGAGGCATTGACGACGCGCTAGCACATCTGGAAGGATTTCTCGGGCAGCTGAAGCTTTTGCAGAAAGGCGAAGTGCGAGATACATTCTTTGAGAGAACTCAGCATCACCGCCGCCGCGGTGACGCATGACCGACTGGCTCGTTGCGTTCAACGTGGGTCGACGACAGGTGCGAGACCACGAGGTCGACGACCTGCGTTAGTTCGATGACGTGGCCAGTTGGTTCCTATTGCGCAAGGCCGGTCTCCGCTCAGAGCGGCGCGATCGCTTCGTCGGTGACATTCCTGGGTGGCGCTCCAGCTTCGCCACCGCCAGGTACCTGCCCATCCGCGCGTTCCCCGACGTGCATTCTCAGGGGCGGGCGCCCCCGGCACCCTCGTGACCGCGGCGTTCCGACCCGGCCGGTCGAGCAGGACGCCCCCGCCGCGCGGGGGCCGATTTGCCGGCGCGGTGGGCGACGCGAAGGAGGTCGACGGGGAGCCCGGCGAAGATGGGGGGGGCGCGAGGGCGCGCGGGGCGATGCGCCGGACGCTGCGCGCCATGGGCTCTTGGAGTTCAGCGTAGAGCTCGAGGCTTCAGGCGCGGGCGCCGCCGAATTTTTCAACGGCGACGAGGCCGCCCAGCTAGAGGCTGCCGCGGCTCAAATTGCTAGCGCCCCGCAGGCCGCGGCCGCGAGCCGCGCTGCTCGCGACGCCGTCGGGGGAAACCGGGGCGGCCGCCGTGGATGGCGCGGCGCTGCTCCACGGCGTGGCGCGCCTGAGGGCGGCATGCTGCAGAGGAGCATCGGCCATCGGAATTCATCATTAACCCGCTGGGGCTGCGGCGGGCCAGGGCGCTGAATAGTCGACGCCGACTGTCCGACGCCCAGGGTTCGCAAGTTCGCGCCCGGGGGCTAGGGCGCCGCTGCCCTTGTGAATGCGCTGCCGCGCATAAGCGGTGGTCATGTAAAGTACTTTTTGAATAGTTTTGGAATGGTTTTGAAATGGTCGGCGCAAGTACTTTTGGAATGGTTTTGGAAAAGTAGGGGCAAGTAGTCGTTTCAAACCACATACCCCCCCACAGTACTCGGCCCGATGGGTGCTCGAAAAGCACATGGTTTTGAATTGAAAAAAAAAACCCGCTCGGATTAGTGATGCAAATCGTCTGATGATGAGGAAGGGGATCAGATTGTCTCACGCGCCTCGAGTGCATGAGTGTTTGCGGGCGGATTATGGTGAGGAAGTCTAAAGCGGAGAGCGTGATTAGGCGGCGTCTGGGGGAAATCTTGTAACAGAGCCCCTGTAGTAACCACGGACAGTGTTTGCAATTGGAGCCATGGTAATCCCGATCCCCTAACAGTGCTTGAGATTGAAACCAGTGCTTGCAACTAGAACCAGTTCTTCACTTGTTCATTGCCCGCAACAATTATGGATCATGTGTTCATTGTCCGTAACCATTTTGGCTCAAACCGTTTGTGGACCACGATGTCGGAGTGGGGCGACATTCTGAATCCAGAGGCTGGCGCGAGCTCGGAGTGGGCTGCCATTCTTGGTGGTGCCGAGAGCGACGGCGCGGCGGCTTCTGGCGGCGCGGGCTCGGAGTGGGCTGCCATTCTTGGTGGTTCCGAGGACGACGACGACGACGGCGCCGCGCTCGTCCCTGTTGCTGCTGCTGACGGCGCCGCGCTCGTCCCCGCTGCCGACGGCGCCGCGCTCGTCCCTGCTGCTGCTGCTGGCGAACAGTCGTTCGCCATCGAGGCCCGCGGCCAGCCGCTGGGGTCCGCAGCGGCGTCCTCCGCCCTGGGCAAGGGCGTGGTGGAGTTTGGAGAGCGCGGTTGCGCTGCAGCTGGAAAGGTCCCTGAGTTGAAAAATCAGTCCCTCGTTGATTTTATCCATAAGCAGTTGGATCCAGACACCACGGGCTTCACTATGATGACACAGAAAGCTGAGAGTGACCAGTCCAAATGTTCGCCCCACACGGTCCACGCGAAACGACTCGTTATGGCAGGTGCTCTTCTGGTTGGATGTGAATACGGAGTCGATGTTGTGTTTTCCCGTCTTTTAGACAAAGTCGAGTCAATTGGTGGATGTGGTGAGGTGATTTACCAGAGGCTTCGTTACGATGAGACCCAGTTCTGTCGGATCCTAGCCGAGAGCAGGTTGACCATCCCAGAACAGGAGTTACTGGACATTGCTGCGCTGTCAGACCAGCCGATGCTTGAGGATGAGCAGAAAGCAGTGGATTCCTTGATGGGCGCACTTGTGAATGACATCCATAGGGGGGCATCGTGCAAAATAGTTCAAAGCGATATGGTTGTTGCTGCATTGTTCTCTTTGGGCAATGAGTTTGTGTTGGTGTCAGTTGATGTGCC